TAGTCGGCTTACCTCCTCCTCGTATGCCTGAGCACCAGCCTGGCAAGCGTACAACACTGCCAGATTGGAGGGATTGTAGAAATTTAATGCGGTCACATTTTTCAACACACTGTCCGCTGCCCATTGTTGTGACTGGTCCACTGCATAGTTCTGACGGCATGCATCCACTACCAGGACTGCAATACTGGGACTGCGTGCGTTCAGTCGACAAGTGAGTGCATCCACACTGATCAGCCCGCGTCTGGTTAACTCGTGGAGAGAAAGTTTGTTTCTCTGGTACTGAGAAATAGGAGGTACGTCTGCGGACTGTCGAGGAGGATAAAATGAACGAGGTTACGTACGTGGCTGTCGGCGCAGCAAATCGGGGGTTAGTGTCCACTGCAATCAGGCTACTTTGTGTTTTGAAAATAACATTTTCCGGGAATAACTTTAAAGTAAACAAATCGAGAACACTACTCAAGTTTCTGTCATTAGTTTTCCATTTTGTATATACATCCTCAGGGACATTCTGGATAAGTTCGATGTTCAAGAGGAATGTTGAATTGAATCATTGCTCTCATGATGAAGTTTGCTAAACTCGCTTAGGTGAAAACTCATCACATCTCATCATTCAAATAATAACCTGGTCCTTGTGCAATTTGTTGCAATAAGGTCTGGTGTTTGGTAATTGGAAGCATCCGAATGATAGAGCAATATTTCCCTTGAAACACTTGGCTAGATTTGTGGATACTGTTGTTGCTCATGGATTACGATGCACGTAGTCGCTGTCTATACTTCTTATTACGGGATCCAAAGGGAGTTGTTTATTTCGAAAACTCCTGTTTGGAAAAAAATCACCCACAAACCGACACAGTTAGTTCTCGTCGGACACGTTGGTTAGGCGAAATTTTTATCCACAAGACCGATTTATGATGCTTTCTAATGCGTAGGAAGCAACTGCCAGGGTTGTTTAAAGGTGATATTCTAACTGTTCCCTTGTGAAAAAGTTTAAAGATTGTGGTTAAACAACTCAAAAATCCAAATTGTCAGATCTGTGTTATTCCGGTTTTCTTTCCTGCTGCTCTATCAAAACTGTTGGCAGTAATGCCTGACGTTATCACAAAAGGTGACATACAAAAATTGACTAAAATTGTAAATATATTCTCTTCACCACGAATCGTGTTTCGAGGGTGGAGAAACAATTCACACACACGTGTGTGCGTGTGTGATCGTCCCCGTTGAATTCTCCTTTCGTGTAACTTTGTGTGAGTGACCCCAGTTCCTCTACTTCATTTCTGCCGCCACAGAGCAAAACGGAATGTGATCAGATCATACAGTTTATTTTCACTAACAGTTGGCGACCATGGATAGAGAACAAACCTGTTTTTGATTGGGCAGCTGTTTGTCCATGGTGGCGTCCGTGGCCAGGACATATTCATGGCCGTGTATTCGAAATCCGTGTGAACCCAAATAGACAAATCCGTAGACTCCGGGTGCCAGAGTTTGTTCGAATTGTTTAATCACATGGATAATTTCATTGGAATTGAGGTTTTGCAGAGAGACGACCTGATTTATGTGAAATGAGTGTAGTAAAAGGACGATAGTGTCAGGTAATGTCTGTAGTCAAGTAACGCGCGCTAATGTATATACATCAGTGTATTCATGCTACAGACGTGGACTTTGTTTAGTGAAGTCCGACAGGCTCAAAAAAGTGATGAAGGAGAGCCTCATCATTTACTGTTGATCTATGCCCCCCCCCCTACTGCGTCGATCCGCACAGCCCAAATGTTTAACGAGCAGGTTTAAGGCTCGCCCGGGCTCGGGTTTGAAACCCGGTTAACCTGGTGGATAAGTAGTACCGATAAATCCCACCAAGGTAGGAATAACCCTCTATAATATTTCTAAGCCTTTCGGTCGGTGGGTCACACGCTGGTTGTGCGTGATAAAAACACTTTCGTCAACGGACCAAAACTTTTCACTCCGTTCATGATTTTATGTAACTCAAGGAGAGTATGATTCGACTGCCGCAAATCACGGCTGTGTAGCTGGTTAGTGCAACATGCTCGAGAGTTATCGCCACCCGTGGTGATCTACCTGTTCCACCTGCATATTTGTTAGCGCAGTAGCAGGTAATGATTGCTTTCAGCATAAGTTCCGACTTGCATCGTTTCTGAGAACCGCGTGAATATCGCTACTTTTCTTCTTTGGCTATACTTCCAACCGTTGGATTTTAGGTTCAGACTATCTCCCTTGCGGTTTATTCACCGCGTGATTTGGTGCAAAATTCAACCTTGTTTCTCTTTAACATTTGGATGCGTGATGCACCATCGCAGTGAAAAGACACAAAACCAAACTCTTCTTTGCCTCTGACCCTCGGGCGTAATTTGTCAATACACAGATCGCACACGGGTTCCTATTCCACTTGTTCCGCACCTTCGATAGCTTCAATTTTCCCTTTCCTTATCCTGTTTTCTTCAGATTCTTTAACGTGTGTTGCGTGCTTCTAGGAAGTTTCTTATCATCTCCATGTGTTCAAATGGTTTTTGACTTCTGTTCAATCACACTCACCGTGTACATCGCTCAGATAAGTCTCCACTTCTTTGACACATTTGAACCGTGTTCAAAACACAGTGTTTGATTGGTTGCTGATTCATCTCTGACACCCGTTCTTAAGCCACTTTCCAATTCTTCCATCGCTATTACCACGATTTTAATCCTTAGAACTCATCAATCTGTTACCTGCTTTCCATTCATTTGCTCACCAGTTCCGTTGGTAGGCACTAAATGAACCTGTCTACTTTACTCACAAGGCATCGTGGAATGCAGTTTCTTACTCGTCTTTATATCTTCAACCACCTCTTTTGTCTTAGAACGATATTCCTCTGCCTTCATTGTACAATAGTCTTTATGAATATAGAGCTTACCCTTGTAGTGTTTATTATAACTCAGTGAGATTTTCACGTATACGTGGACTGACAACTGACCAAACACACTGATTCCTTCGTCAAACGGAATGAATAGAAAAATGTCTTTCACCAAACCTTGATTACTTCTTAATATTCATGGTTGTAAATGTAAATGTATTTACTTCCTTTTCTATTTATTGAATATACAAATGTACAGTTAACTTTCTGGAAGGTAGCTGCGGCCATACAAAGGCTGCCTGGGGAAAATATAGATATAGGGAAGCCAGGCGGCGCTGGTGCACAATCTTTGTCTTAGCACTCAATTGTCGCTTCGTATGTGCGCGATATTCAAATATCGCGCTCTGTTTACTCTAAATGAGGTCTTATGGCGGGTTCTGCGAACCCGCAATAGATCATTGTAATCGAAATATAAATTACTAACACCAACTCAACCAGAGCTTTCACATACATTTTAGACCAATTTATTTAGAAACTTGTTTGTTTGTGGACCACTTTTAATCAGAACCTGTACCAGCCGGATGACCTCCGTGCTAACCGACAGACAGCGTACAATAGCACTGGGTAAATACAAATCAGAGGTTTCACCTACCATTCGGCCTAGACTGATATCAAAACAAACGGTGTCCAAATGCTGGCGCCAGTTTTTTATGATACACTTTTAACGCATAAAAGAACACAGTGTTACACTACCGTTCTCAGTCGTCAGAATTTACTTCACCTGGATCACAGGGATAACATCGGCCTGTTCTGTTCACTCGAAAAAGGACCCAAATTTGAAAATAAACAGCACTTATTAGATCTATTTAAAGCAATACGCGAGTTTCTTGAGTTACATATTATTCCCACAAACATTGGTGATTCGTGGTGTCGAATGAGTATTCTTGCAATTAACTGAGTGTCCTATAGACTTTAAATCCCCCGTTTA